AAGAAAAGCTCAACACAAATATTTCTTCGGTAAAGGTCGGTGTATGTACTTCTGTGTGCAAAGGTGTAAATTTGAATAGTTATCGGATTCTACAAAGGAAGAGACAAACTCCACTAGACCCTGCTAAGTGGAATTTATTCAGCTATCAAAGTCTTGTTTTGACTGAATAAAACATCAGGCTTTAAGAAATCATGAAGTTTCAGTCGTTATGATGTGTCTTTTTTGTTGTTTATTTTACGGGGTATGATTGGCAGTTTCGACCTTGTGTTTCTTTGGGCTTACAGAACTACTTCCACCTATTTAGGATAGTATTCCTCACCTTTTAGGAAAGATTCCACACTGGACAACTGATATACCCATCTCCATAGGAGAAAGTGGAAGCGAATTCGCCGAAAGTACAGGTTTCTCCTTATGTAGTATTGTAAGCAGTAACCATGAAACAAGACCATAGTCATACTGAAGTTTTAGTAATTCACGATCTTTCAGTTAAGATGCCATTGTGACCTTGTTTTTCTATTATTACGTTTATATAGTATATAGTTTCATGCAAAATCAATCGAAGAGGCTGTGAAGTTACATCGACTGGGATGGTTAGGACATGTGTTACGTATGCATGCCTAGTCATTGCCTTCCTCGAGGGGCAATGTTAGCTGATATAAGGTCAGGCTGGAAAAGAGCTAGCGGCCGTCAGTCCAAAACATGGCACCAGTCAGTGAAATCCACAACAGTTAGTTTAAGCCAGCCAGTCACGTAGGAAGGTGTAGACTTCGTGTTTGGGGTCCTCAGGACGGTAAACACCAATGGAGGCTGGAGATAATTGGTGATATGGCTCTAAATCGTTCTCAGTGGCTAGCGCAGATGCATCTACCTCCTTGTGTCTTATAATATCCAATAAAACTATATTGTTCTTAGATATTACTATTCTTTTTGCCTCATATCTCTGTTTCTATTTTGCATTTATCTACTTTTTTCTCTTGCTTTGTGTGCTACATGGAGGGAGTATGGCAACTTGAACTGCTGCATATCAGTGCAAAGTTCTATGTTGAAAACAGACAAACAGAGTTTTATGCAAATTTGCTTGCTTTCTACATCACCATTTATGGTGTCAACCAGATCACACGGTGTGATCTGAATGATTTGATTTCTAAAGGAAACTACGGTAAAAAGTCATCCCTTAAACTGTGTACATTACAAATTGTGAATTTGATTTATGGTGCCACCAGTTCATCCAAGTAGCGGACCAGCCATAAATCAGGTGGTGTGAACACTGATTCGGCTCGGCCGGGCTAAGTCGAATCAGCTTCTCTGCTAATGATCTTTGCCCTAAACGAGTGGTGGAATGGACATCCGGTGTTTAGATCACCTCAGTTTTTCTGGCAAGCACCATTTATTTATTTATCGTTTTTTTATTATAGCTTGATTCCACACCGTATTTTTCGGTACAAGTATAGAATTTTCAGCATGTGAAATCGGTAGCCCAATTTTACAGACCGACCATTGATATCAGGTGTGCGTCGGGAGAAGATCGAACTCCGAACCATGCGCGTGGTTGGCAAGAATCCTAACCGCTGTGCTACCGACGCACATATGAGTAGCAAACAACTACTCACCTGAATCAATCAGTAGTATGTTGTTTTCAACAAACTGATCGAATTTAGGTGGGGTTTTTAAATTCAAAAAGCATTTGGGATAGAAGATGATTCAGTAAATAGGTGATCATCACTGAAAAGATATCAGCTCCTCAAAATATTTTGGTGCCTGAAAAATACAATGTTATGATCACTGATCGTAGCAATGAATAATATTGATTTGAGTTTCCCAATGAACATGTACTCTTTCAGGGTTGTGGATAAACTCTCCTACTAAATACCGAGAAGAACAAAATCCTATTAAGTGTACCTTCTAAGCATTTGATAATCAATATGAGATATTTTTATCAACCTAAATCCATTTCTGTATATCTGGTAGCTAGAGTTCCATACTCTTATTTGAACAAGTTTCCACTTAGCTAAACATATCTACACTAAGGACTATGGCTTCAACACTACAGAGTGCTCGAAATCTTCCCTAACCTGCCTCAACACCTTTCAGATGATTCTCAGCATAAACCTTAGAGGAACTTTTGAAGTGAAGGCATGAGTGATACAAAGCTACCTACTATCACCTGTGATATTCTTGATTATGCACGTCAGCAATAGTATTCCCATCAGGCTGATGAAGACCTTCATGAATAGATGCCTTATTCACTTGATGACACTGATGATTACATTACTGGTCGGAAATGACAAAAAAACAAGGAACTTTGGTAGGTAGCGGACCAGCCAACAACCTAAAACCTGATAAGCACGCAGAGACAGAGAGAGATGATCATGGACTGAACATACAGTGAAGAGACCGTTAAGCGGTGACATCAACCGCCAGGCCCACTAGTGGAACCCGAATAGGAAACAACGAGTTTGGTGTGACTCGAGAGGTAACATGGAAGAGATGAAAGTTTATGAGCGAATATGGAGCTGGCTACAAAGGACGGCGAAGAAAGTAGTGAAAAGGCAGTGTATTGTCGAAGGAACTATATTTTCCACTTGAGATCCAAGGGAACAATGGTAATATTACCTTCAGCAGTCAAGTGCTATGTGGACGACATTTTAAACACATGTGTAAAACATTTGACATAATCTATATCAACTGAAAACATACACACACACACACACTTAACAAATATTAGTGATGTGCATGTGATGTACATGTGGTAAAGGACTGAACAGAATATTAACACTGTTAACACTAACCTGTTTCTGACCACGACGCTATTTCATTATGCAGAATAATAATAAACTCAGGGAATTTACAAGTAAATTGAAATACATGTTCACAATAAACTAATTATAGAAATTATGAAGCCTATTCGATCAAACAAAAATGCAAATCTATGTCCAAAAAGCAAGACAGTCTTAAGTTGTATCCGCACCAAATCCTACCTCAAGAGTTTCCTGCTACTGAATGACTTACTCTTATGATTCATTTATGTTAATTTTTCAGTTTCTGTTTCTTTGCTACACTGGAGACATTTGGTTTATTACTCAAGCAGTACACTTTACTTGTCATTTTTATCTCTTTGGGCGCCGAATGGAATGTAGGGCTTCAGAAGCACATCAGTATTTTTCACTATGCTCCCTGCAGTCCTTACACAAATGCCCATAAGCTTTCATCTCCTCCTCTTGACTGGATCTCCTCCATGTCATCCGTGGAGCCATGAACAGTTGGTCGTTTCCTATTCAGGTTCCATTCAAAGGCCTGGAACACGATATCATTGAATGCTCTGGCTGGAACTTATGTTCCTGTAGGTCCTACCATGCCAGAAAGGTTGTTTGGATAGCGGTTAGACAAAAAGCAGCTACCCAATCCAATACTATGATTCAAACAAATTCACAAAATATCATGCCGGATTGGTCGGGGCCCGGATTAACAACGACCGCGCTTTCTGCTGCCGTGTCACAGGGCAGAAGTGATAAATATGCTACTGAGACACACCAAATGAAAAAGAAAGAAACAAAAACAGGCCGCGTGTGACCGGCCTCAAGCAGTTGTCCCCTGGGCTCTGCGGTCACGCAACACTAACCTCTCCTCTATTTCAGGTACCCGAAGACCCAACCAACTTCCACGGTGTGGGCAGCCGGGAAGTAACAACCGCCCACACACTTCCAAAAGCACACGAAGCCTACCTGAGCATCACTCTCCCCTACTCACATCACCTTCCTCATCTTGCTTCTCTACTACAGCTAGCACTATTCTTCAGGCTAGTGAGTCATCTTCACTTCACTCTGCGTCCACAAACAACGATGAGAGCCATAGAAACAACCCAGATAGCCTTTTAAAGCCACGTCGCTCTCCTCACAGTATGTCTAATCCATCTTTTTCCTCCTGGATGTTTGTTAGGTTGTTGCCTAACCTTTCTAGCAAGAATACGTACAAGTGAATCACAGATCCCTAATGGTTCCTATTGTATTATAAAGTTGAAGCGGAAAATGACTTCAGTTTGAGGTTAATGGGAAAACAAACAGCACTAGACAGTTATTTCGTCCTAGTTTGGAACTTTCTGTCAAAACACATCCATTACCCGACCGCTAGGGATCGAATCCAGGACCTTCAGATAAAATAGCCAACTTGTTGACCTTCCAGCCACTGGGACGGAATTCACTGACCAGTCAATTCACTACACATGTAGCCCAACTGCCAGCCAATGTCATCAGTGAGTATTTCTGCTCACATTCAACAATGATAGACTAAACTGGTTACCAGTTCACACTAGAACTTCAAGTAACTTCATCCAGCAGTAGTATAGTAGTCAGTCAGTCAGTCAAGGGGATTTGTTTAATTGGAAGGTTGATCACGAACTGACATCAGATTCATTTTGACTATTAAATATTAGTGAACAAGCTACACAAATGAAGGCACGCGGGGGGGGGGGGAGGTACACCTGAAACGTTTAGTAAAATAATGCTGAAGCATATTAACGATTGATGACTACAATAAAAACAGGACTTTCTTTTTTTTATCAACTCTAGTAACATGATAATACAAGTTATTCTTTGGTTCCTCTTTTCTCTCTCTCATTCTTCAGAGATAACTAACAAAATTTGTTAAGCAACAGAGGAAATCACTCACTCACACACACACACACACACACACCCACGCAGATCAAAACATGCGAAGAGGAAACACAGTGCAATAGCGGCATCAAAAGCATCAACCAACCAATCAATAAGAAAAGACATGACACTATCGAATTACAATCTAAACAGAAAACAGCAAAGGATCGAATTCATAAATGTATAATCTCATGTGTGTACGTGTGTATGAGTGTGTGTGATAGACACACACGCATACGTTCACACACACACACATGCACGGCTGCATAGACACACAAAAAGCGCAAACACGCTTATTTCATGCTTAGAGGAAATGTAAAGGGCCCACACATCACAATAAGTAAAACATACACTATCATCCAAACGGAGCTGGAAAATAGAATTGAGAAAATATTGAAGTGAAAATGTAATTATAAAATGCTAAATAATTATTATACCAGTAAATTAAGTAACGTCACTACAAAAATAAAACTACCATATATATATATAATTTTGGACAGTATTGAAGCTGTTTAGAACATATTTTCTAGTTTAGCCACGCCTACCTACTATCACACTCACACACAAACAAACAGTCAGCGCGTACGCACATAAACTTGGATATTGCTGACTATATCAGTGAAAATGGATATCACACATGTTTTAAAACTAAATTTATACTGTTCTGTAATGCATGTTGCACACATCTACAGACATATATATACACACACACACACCATTGGCCGCCTCCCATTCACACCCGTAACCACGAAATCTAACAATAATAAAATTAATGAGAATAAAGGTAAGAAAGCAGAATATGCTAGTATGAGTTGGAACTTGAAAATTACAGAGACTTATTGCGTTGTTTTATAGGAAATCAATTCACGACAAGTTTTCCCCTCTCTCTCTCTCTCTCGACAGTTTCATCTAATCCATCCAACTTTACAGTTAAAACACAGTCCCACAGGAAACGACCTTCATATGGTCAATAAACTCTGTTTTACGACTCCAGTGATGTGATCAATATATTCAATTCTGGAAAATTATCAGTTCATCAATTCACTCATCATCAGTTTGAAAGTAAAACATCTAGCAGTAAACGATGAACCTTCTTATTTTACAGAACCAATTCTGAACTCTTCATATTTGGATTTATTTCTACGCTTTTATTTTTCCCGCCTAAAATCTGATTGGTCAGTTCTAATCAGCAATGTTTTGATTGGCTAATTTCAGTGGTGGTCTGATTTGAAATTGATTATTTCTATTGGCCGTAAAGTGAAAGTTTCAACAAATCACTTTGTCATTTCGCTTCACTGATCAACAAAATAGGGCAAGTAATGGTAAAACAAAACAAAGGGTGTGAAGCGATGAAAACACGTCATGATTGAAAAAGAATTTCACTTAGACTGTTGGTGTTGAAAAGATTTTATCAAAAACTAAACAGCTTGAAGAAGGAAAAACACTAGCACTCACACACTCAGGCTAAAACAATTTTTTTGCCCCTCCTCATAATTATCAGTATTGCGAAAAAAGAGGTTTGAAAAAGACAGTTCACTCACAAACACAGACGTACACACACACACACACGCAAACAAGCTAATACACCGAAACACTGAAATCCTTTAAAGCAAACGAATCAATGAAATATTATCTAATTTCGAATTTGACAAACCATGCTCATTTCAGAAATATCAGGATCATTCTGATTCTGAAAAGCAGAGGTGATCATTGATCGTAAAATGATGCTGAAAGTTTTTTTCCAAAGTAATTTATAAATACTTTCGCTAAGTATTTTGCTGTTGTTAACCTTCGTCGTATGGAATACGTGTAATTGCTTGACATCAAAAAGCGAATCAGTCCATTCGAAATCGGAAAATTTAATCAATATTTTAATATTACACTAATGGGATTACCACTAGTAGTACTACAGCTATGGTTACTGAGCTGGACAGGACTGGAGAAAGCAGATCAAATATTGATTAGACTGGAACATAGTGGATGCTAGCAAAAATTCATTTCACTGTTGGCAAATCATAGTGTAGGCATTCAGTAGGCATTTGAGCGTGTTTAGTTCTTCGTTGTCTGATGTGTCTGTCAGGCGACTTTCAGAGATGCGACCTTTCACTTGACTACTTTGTTCAGGAGCTTTCCTAGTGACTGATAGCCATTAGGATACCTTCCTTCTAAGATTGTACTTGAAGTTTATAAAAAGCAAAAAGCACACTACTGCTTCGACTTACTGACTTTTAGAAACGGAATATATGCATGTCACACTGATCTTAACAACTCCACAGTTGTTTATTCCTTTATTTTTGACTGTGGTAATGAATCTTTTTATTTTATGCATATCTGTTGATGAAATTACCTAGAAAATAAGCGAAACCTTCTTGACGTGTTCAGTTTACTGTAACGCTTCATGGAACACGACAAGGTGCTATCCAATATGTCTAATACATTTTTCATCAATATCCTACTAACTAGGTGTTTAGCCAATAAGATAAATGGAAATTACTAATTCGATTTAATTTGAAGTTCAAAGTAATGGTCAAAATTCGATTAATTATAATTCAGATTGATGTTTTGAAATGTTGTCCTACATAGCTGGAATCTGATTGGCTAATAACTTCTGGTATTCTTCTGATTGGCTAAATCAAGTTGTTTTAATGAATATCACCATAGTAGGATGATAAATACTGCTTACGAATTTTAAAATACTTCGTGGCAGTGACTGTCTGGAGTTGTTCTTTTAAAAAAATCTAAGATAAACTGTTCACATAGTCTGTATCAATTGTTGGCTAAAATGATTTCATAAAATGTAACTTACCATAGATGACAGTATTAGGCCATTAGATCAGATACCACCATGCATTCCATTTCGAAGTGTCCAAATTGTAAAGTCAAAACAAAAGGCCGGGCCTGATGAGCAGTAATCTGCACACACCTATTGTGTGTGTGTGTGTGTGTGAGGGCCAGTGGTACTAGATGACTGCTCAAATGTCACTGGGTGGAGATGAGTTAGGACTCTTAGCCTAGTGGTTGGAATTTAAGCACGTATTCAGACTATTCAGCTACAGCTCACTTGGCTTGGAAAGGTCTGACACAATTTATGGTTAGATGTTGCAGTTTTGTGAAAATTTGCTTGCCTTTATCGATTGGAAAAACAATTTGAGGTCGACGAATATTATTCTATGTACTACTGGTTGTTTTAAATGAGTAGTTGGATAAAAACTCATATAAACCTGTAGGGCTTTCTAGTCAGCCAAATCGAAGTGATGTAAACAAAGGACAGCCGTTTTCCTTGTTTGGGGCTGAGTTCTTCAGTGGTGTACCCCATTTGACTAAGATCACAGCATGGAATCAGTGATTTATGTGAGTGGTGTCCAACTAATCATATCAATCTATTACTAGTAGATAAGATTATCCATTTATTGATGCTTTATTGATTGTCACTTATGATATAAACCAGATCACATATTGTGGTCTAAATAATTTCGGTTGGCAAAGAAAACTGCAGTGAATTCTCACCTTAAACTGTATGTAACTTGTGAATTTCACTCACCGAAAATTAGACAGCCATTTCATCCCAGTTTGGATATTTTCCAGTGGTGTAAAAAACCAGCAATCCTCATGAAAATGTCTTCGGTGTCAAACAACACCACAACTTCACTCATATTATATCATGACAGTGATACCCAAGTAAATATATATTTATTGCTTCCTTTAGTTCCTAGAGGAACACAGGGCTTCAGCCAAACGTCTCCAATGCGTTCAATTCTCTGCTAACGTTTTCACCTGGCTCCACGTCTGTCCACATGCTTTCATTTCCTCTTCATATGACCTCCTCCACTCCATGTCACCCTTGAACTGACGACCAACTCGCCGCTTCCCGTTCGGGTTCCACTCGAGTGATGGTCTGTCGTGTGATGTCACTTGATGGTTTGATTTCTCAGAGTATTGCTTCCAATCCATCTCCATTTCTTCCTCCATATTTGTTGCACAAACGGTTCCTGCTGGGTTGGTTCGTTCATTGCCAGAGATCCCTCCCTGTTGATGATCTTTTCTGGCCGACCATCTGATCTTGGGTAGTATTGAGCGAAGACAGCTGTTGATGAAGGTCTGTAGTATGTTCGAAGTGGCCTTCGTGAAGTGGCACCAAGTCTCTGATCAATATAGTAGCACTGACTTCACATTGGAGTTGAAAATCCACATCTTATTTTTCATGCTGAGTGCTGTTGACTTCCACACACACTTGAGAGAAATGAAAGCTTGTCTTGCTTTCCCGATCCTCGCCTTGATATCCTCATCAGTTCCGTTCTCCTGTAGTTGAAACGATGCTTCCCAGGTCAGTAGGTGAAGGAGGTTGCTTCTTTCAGATTTCTCCCATTTATGCTGATTGCTGTCTATTGTTGTGGTTACCCTTGTTGTTGGCCAGGAATCTTCACCACCTCTGTTTTCTCTAAGTTCACCCGAATTGAATTTCTACCTTTGATGCTTCTTCTATCTCCAACTTGTTGCTTTTCACTTGCATATCTTCCAGTTTGTGGGAAATCAGACATATATCATCGGCGAAGTTCAGATCCTCCAATTTTTTGTGTGGGTTCATTTTATGCCTGTTTCCTCACCGCCCAGCACGCTGTCTGTCGCACTATCCAGTCTACAGCCATCAGAAAAATCATTGGAGATAGTAGGCAGCCAGCTTATCTTATTCCCGTCTTCACTTCGAAGAATTCAGTGAGTATTCCGTTGTGGATTACTTGGCATATAGCATTGTCGTACAGCTGTTGGATGAGGTGTACAATTGTTGGTGGCACCCTGTAGTAGTGAAGTAGTCACCAAATCGCCTCTCGATCGATGCTACACTATCGAAGGCCTTTTCAAAGTCAATGAAGTTGAGGCAGATAGGTGACTGCCGTTCCAAGCTCTTCTACCAAAAAGGAATCTTTCATATACTAGGAAAGATGCCACACGTATGGTGTATGAACACTAGTGATACTCTGTAGCTGGGTGAGCTGAAATAAGTGAGACGGTGTTTGAATCAGTGACCCATGAACTTAACGCCAAGTTCTTAAGCCAGTGAATCACATATCCACTTCTTTATGATACTATCCTTTCACTGTTACCACTGGATGGCAGACAGAACAGGTGAAATGGGAACCACTTCACTTCAAAATACCATTAGTAACACTTTACCTCTCCACTATATCCAAAACTAAATAAAAATAGAGGCTTTCATAACTGTTTCAATAAACTAAATGACTATGTTTTGTACTTTAAGAAATCAATTTGAAATATTCAGATTGATTTAAGTGTTTATTTATTTATTATTATTTTTTTGCTTCATGTTATCTGAACAGCTTCCTGAAGTAATTTCGTTCGCACTCTGTTTG